ACAAAGGTGTCAGATTCAACAAGGTTTCTATCCTTGACGTGCGAACACACTTCAAGCCTACAGAGACATTCCAATACACGATTTTCTATTCGTGTCACCCACCAGGCGTCACAAAAGGCTTCATCGGAGGAGAAGCTTTAAGGTTTCAACAAATTCCTCTGAAATCTCTTTTGAAGAGAACATGAGGAATTTTTCAACACGCCTCAAGAATAGAGATTACCCAGCTACAACTGTAGAAAAATATCTCTCAGAGGTCATTTTCGCAGACAGAAAGAAAGCACTAGAACAGGGAAACAAAAATACTACCCTTTGTAACGCAATACCACCCTGAGTTGCCCAACCTCAAGAACATACTCATGGGGAAATGGCACCTTATACAGAACCAACCATATCTCAGAAACATCTTTAAGGAACCTCCCCTCATTTCATATCGCAAAGGAAAATCCCTAAAAGACACTCAAGTAAGAGCTAAAATATAAAGCTTTTAAGACCGATCTATTTGCGAACTGCAGGAGTCGTGCAGGCCCGCCTTGAATTCCACCACCTGTGTGCTCGGTTTAGTCCCTCTCGGAAACAAAACTGATCAAAAATTGTCGTCTCCCTTCTTGATTTAAAAAACATGCATCTTGATTTAGAAAACGTGTCTCTTGATACATGACATGAAACACGTGTGGGAATTGAAATTAAATTCTACAATCTTGACACATTCAAAAAGCAAATTGATGTTAATTTTATCGATCTTGATAGTGAATTGGTGGATTTGAATTATAAAGATGCATCTTTGATATTTTGTCACTTTTGGCGTAGCATAGAATTTCAAGAAAACCGGCAATAGGTAGGGTATACGAAAAAATATGTCATTATTTTTGTAATATTTATAACGTGAAATAATTGCACTCATCATACTACATACCTGTTAATGAATAGCGCTTTAGCTTGCGTGGCAGGCGTTAAAAGGGGAAGGGGAAGGGGGAATTTGGGCACGCGAGAGCGTGTGGGGCGAGGTAGATCTTTGAAGTTCAGCTCTTCTTTCCCCGCCATCATTGTTCTTTTGTGTGCTTCGCTGGATCCAATTCGTCCTGATAGAAATTCAAAGAGTGTGCGACGGAAGAGTGAAAGTTGCGAAGAGCCGGTACATTTCTTATTAAATAGTTTTCCAGCCCGATTCCTTCAGCAACAACTTGAATAGATTTATGCTGGATTCTATGAAACTCGGCACGCGTCGTTCCAACTTTCAACCTTTACTTTAGATTTCTTGTTTTAAGAAAACAAAAGAAAAACAGTGCGAGAAATACGGCGTACATGGCGACCAGACTTATTTGACAGTTAGTCATTCACCAGTTGCGTTATTTTTGTTATTTTTTTAATTAGTGGGCGGAATGGCGAAAACAATGGCTTCCTTGCAGGCGTTCCCCTCCTCCCTCGCGTGCTGTCTCGCGCCCTAATTGCCTTCCCCTTCCCTCTCGAACGCTTGCCACGCAGGCTAATAGCGCTTGTGATTATCCTCCCCGCTATGGCGTTCTGATACAACAAAGTAGCTCGAATTTGACGGCATGTATTCTTCTTATCTAGAAATTCTTCGAAAAATCCAATAACAAAACCATTCTCCTTGTCCGCCATATTCTAAAATTTGGCGGGAAGCGTTTGCAGGTCATGTATGCTCATGTGAAATATTCTGGGATTTTCCGTGACGCTTAAACAAAGTATTGAGCGATAAAATCGTATGGGGCGAAGTGGGGTGTAGCGGTAGCAAACAACCTCGGCCCAGCCCAGCGGCCCATTCAAGTATAGTAAAATGCGTTAAAAATGACACAAATGGAGAAAAAAGGCTCTCTTTCAATCATTTCTTCAAGATAACCTTCCTTTTATGCTCCGCTTTCCTGATGTACTGGTAAGTAACCTTCGTGGATCAAAACTGGTCAGTCCGGTACACCGGGACCAGTTTGCACAGAAGCTTTGATTTGCTTCCATACAGTCCTTTTGCGCCTCGTGTGGCGTTGCTTTTGTGTAAATAGCAGCGATCACTTTGTATGCAGATTAAAACGTTTCAGAGTGCAAGGGGAGATGTGGCGCATTTCTAAAGTTTTTAAAGACGTCACGAGGTGGAATTCAGCTAGTCAGCTGAGTCGTTTTTCACCTCTCTTACTGAGAAAAGATTACAGCTCGTCAAACGCGGGAGACTCTGACGTAAAAGCTGGAGTTCCTTATACGACTCTCCAGGTAGGCAGAGCTTAAATTCGCGCACATTTTCTGTTATTTATATGTGTTTTTTTTTTCAGTAAATATTATTTTGATGAAGGTCGGAACACCTCGACGTAAACAGTAACCTATTCACGAAGACCCCTAAGAGGAACTTTTGGAAATTTGATCCCTTTTGACACCCGTCAACAAAATTTTCAAATAAGAGAGGCCAGTGTCAAACGGGAAGCGAATTCCCACATCCTCTCTGTGATCCCCCTCCACAATTCTAACCCCACAACTAACCCTAATCCTGACCCCTAAGCACAACCTCTAACCATTAACCCCAAACCCTAACCCTAAAACCTTTTTTTTTTAATGTATGAAAGACCATGTTTACTGCGAAAAGGCGTCACAGAGCCCGTCACAGAGTGGATGTGGGAATTCATTTACCGTGTCAAACAGCATATTTCACATTAGTCAAACTCTTAATCAGGTTTTTACAGCCCAGCCCCCGAGTTTTGCAGTTACTTCTTTGTGCCCGCCACGTAACATAACGTAAGCTTACTCGTACTGTAAACTGCCTCTTAAAACCCATGTATGCCTGCCCACATGTAGCAATATTTAATCCCTGTTGATTGATATTTGATTTGGACATGATTTCTTTTAAATTTAAACCTCGCATCTAAAATTTATTTAAATTTAAAAGGGTTTCATTTAATCCTTTGGAAATTTTATTTAAACTTCTTACGAAAATCCATTTAATCTTCCATTAAATTATGGTTTAAACTTTGACATTTTCATTTTATTCATTTTATCCATTTAAATTTAAACTTTGGAATTCCCATTTAAAATTTACTGAAAAATGTCTTTTAAACTGCTGAATGCTAACTTAATCCTTTAAATTGAAACGTTAACAAATTTCTTTTAAACTTACCAATGTAAATTACATTTAAACTGCGAAAGTAAAATTCATTTAATCTTCCTGGGGCGAGCTCGGCCGGAATCACGTGCTCAGGTCAAATGGCAAGGTCACATGTCGTATCCTCAGCTGCCATTTTTATCTGCAGTAGAAAGTGTGGACGAAGGAACGAAAGGAAGAGTGAGCGAATTACTAAGTGAGGCATCAAGGCTTCTGCCTTACAGCACCTCTTCTAATGCTGCTTCAAATTCCACTTGTCCAGCTGCGATACCGCAGGCAACAATCAACAAAACTCTCAGGCGTGCTCAGGGGATGCCGAGCGAAACAGACTGTTCATAGCCCCCTATTTTTCGGTGAGATAGCGGTTGTGATATAGCGTGTCTTATAGTTAATGGCGGCCATCTTGATTTTCAAATGACCGAGGGGGCGGACATCGGATATCATGTATTCATGTAGCTCTAGGGGGAGGGGGGCGAGAAAAATAGAGGGCCGGCCTGTAATAACATCACTGCAGCTCGCGTTCAGGGAGTGCGTTGTACCAGCAACGCAGGCGTTTGATTGGTAATTAGACAATAGATGTTAATTTGCATCAAGTGACAACAGGTTTAGTTTAAGTTGCCGACACTGACAAGGCTTTGACAAGTCGTCGTTTCTATAAAACGTACACTTTCATAATAGTATAAGGCACATCTTGCCCAAACACACGAAGGAATTTAGGCATTTTGCGGGTGAATCACATAAGCCAACATGCTTTTGAAGCAGCTTGGCCAGGGGAATGTTGTAACACCGTTTCTCCTAAACGAATTGAAATTATGTGTCTGGCATGTTTTTCACTGCTAGCAGAGTTTCTTAATAAATGAATGGTAAAAGGCGTAAATTGCTGTCATGCCTCCTGAAGGCGAGCTGCAGTGATGTTATTGCAGTCCCTCTATTTTTCTCGCTTCCTCCTAAACCTTCCTCCGCCCCCTAAGTAGTTTTGACACTCATCCAAGATGACAACCCGTACCGCATAGCGCTCGATCTCGACGATCTTACGGGAAAATAGGGGACTGTGAACAATCTATGAGTTCATCTAACGGTCTCTGTAGAAGATTAGGGAATTTAAGATAGCTCTCTACCGTAGACTGGGACAGTTGGATGCTTTACGGGCGGCCTGGCCCATGACGGTAAGAAGGCGCGAAAATTTGCAATTTACGATCAGACAACAAAACAGAGGATGGTGAAGTCATATGCGAAACTCGCATGTAATTTCTTTTGCAGAAGGCTCAATTACTGAAGAAGAGTTTCTTATTTAAAACGAAGAATACCAATCAAAAGAATAAGGGTACAAATTAAAGCTAGCTAGTTTTTAAAACTAGTCGATGTTTTTTGTGGTATCGCAGCTGGACAAGTGGAATTTGAAGCAGCATTAGAAGAGGTGCTGGAAGACAGAAGCCTTGACGCTTTCCACACTTTCTACTGCAGATAAAAATGGCAGCCGAGGATACGACATGTGACCTTGCCATTTGACCTGAGCACGTGATCCCGGCCGAGCTCGCCCCAGGAAGATTAAATGAATTTTACTTTCGCAGTTTAAACATAATTTACATTGGTAAGTTTAAAGAAATTTGTTAACGTTTCAATTTAAAGGATTAAGTTAGAATTCAGCAGCTTAAAAGACATTTTTCAGTAAATTTTAAATGGGAATTCCAAAGTTTAAATTTAAATGGATAGAATGAATTAAATGAAAATGTCAAAGTTTAAACCATAATTTAATGGAAGATTAAATGGATTTTCATAAGAAGTTTAAATGAAATTTCAAAAAGGATTAAATGAAACTCTTTTAAATTTAAATAAATTTTAGATGCGAGGTTTAAATTAAAAGAAATCATGTCCAAATCAAATATGAATCAACAGGGATTAAATATTGCTACATATGGGCAGGCATACCCATGCCCCACCACTTATCAGCCCTCCCAGTTATTAAATACATTAAAAATACATCCAATTGTAAGGCCTGTTTCAAACGTTGTGCTACTGCCGTGCTAAGCTGGCTCGACTGTAGCTCGACTGCAGCCCGACACTAGCACGACTTGGATTCAGACGTCCAATTTAATTCAGATGAATAGAACGGCTGTTTCCCAAAACAAAACACAAAAATAAAGAAACAGTTTAGCAAACTTTTAAATGTATTCTAATGTATTTATAATTTATGAACTGGGTTCGGCACAGCAGGAGCACGACATTTGAAACCAAGTGGAGCTACTTGTATTCACTAATTTGAACAATTCAGATTCTGGGATTTTCCATTTCAAACTGTTAAGGTGTTTTATAACGTCCTTAGTAATGACTGAATCTATTATAAAACAGACAGAAGACAAAAGAGCTCCAGATTCTGTCCAAGCTGAAGCTGATGTTGTAATAATAGGTGGAGGTTCTGTTGGTGCTAGCACACTGTACCACCTCACCAAACTTGGTGTTAAAAATGCCGTCCTGTTAGAAAGGGATCAGCTCACTTCTGGAACAACCTGGCATAGCGCTGGCCTTGTGTGGAGATTACGACCCAGTGATGTTGAGGTGGAGTTACTTAATTGGACGCGCAAACTTGCAAAAGATATTTTAGAAGGGGAGACAGGGTTGTGGCCTGGGTGGAATGAGAATGGAGGCTTGTTTATTGCCAATAACAAGGAAAGATTGGATGAGTACAAGAGACTAATGACTGTAAGTTTGGTACAGCATAATTTAAACCATTGTTAACAATATTATAGAATAAGACAGTGTACCTTATTACATGAAATTTTGGCGATGTGTTAATTTAGCGATTTAAAAAAATCCAAATTTAGCAGCCCTTTAATTTAGCGATTTTTTGAAACTACAGTAAGTCACTTTATTTTTTGCAAATATTTCATGAACTGAAACTTTGGCGATGGTATTGAAAACTTTTACAATGACAAGAGAACAGTAACTGTTACGTGATAAAATCATAAATGTCAGTAGCTTCATTCAAATCAAAATCATGCAACATTCTGAAACTTAATTTTGAATACCAAACAAAATAATGAAACTGCAACTGTAATGTCACATGTGAATGCTGTCCTCACTCATACTTAAGGTACACAAAGTCAGTGATAAACGTAATAATCAACCGTAAAATAACACGTGTGTGAAACTGATCAGATGGTGGAATTTCATATTGCACTCATTTTCATTTAACAACAATAATTTAAATTCAGTGACACTTAATTCTGGTGCATTTTAATTCAGCAATTTTTAGAAAAATCACTAAATTTGCTAAATTAAAGTGTTAATTGCCAAAATTTTACGTATTAAGGTGTTAGATATTGGTATTTATTAGGGTGCAAAGAAAATCATTTCTACAGCTTGCCATTCGGGCAAACTGAAGCTAGCATTTACTAGCCCAGATATCATTTCAACTAGCCCCAAAAACTTTTTGACTAGCAGAATTGATTACATAGTTCTTCTGTTATTCAAATTCCTCAAAGAACATCACTTGCCCGTCGGGCAAGTTAAAAACAGAATTCACTAGCCCGATAACAAAATCCACTAGCCCCGGGCTATCGGACACTACTTTCTTTGCACGCTGTTTATGCATCAGCATTTTATAGTTATACTGTCCATATCCACTTGACATGATGTGGGTATACTTGTAGCTAGCTGGGAGTGAAATCAATGCTTGAAATTAACTTTGTTGTCGAGTAAACTAGATAGTTGAAAGATGAACATTGTTTTGTTGCTGTTAAAAACCTGGGGGTCCATTTGTCAGAAGTCCTGGTGCTTTCAAGGCCCCAGAAAACTGTTTTCTGTACATTTTAAGAGAAGAATTCAATGGTTTAGCAGATACATGTGAATGTAATATGATAAAACTGGCAGTTAATAAAATGAAATGGATTGGTTTGGTAGCCAAGTCCCACACTGTACTTGTTAGATTCTGGTTTCAATTTTGGGTTTTGGGCCCAAAAAGTTATCCGAACTTTCACGAAACAGGCCCCTGGGCTGGCTTCTGGCCTCTAAGCATGCTTTTGTTACAACAGCTTACTGTAAAAGACAACATATGATTTTTTTGGAATATATTGTTTGTGTAAGTTGCAGTTTTTATATTGTTTCCAAACCAAACAGCTTGGCAAGGTTTATGGGGTTGAATCATTTGTTCTTGGACCCAAAGAATCCAAGGAACTGTATCCATTGATGAATGTAGATGACTTGTACGGCACTTTGCACAGTCCTGGAGATGGCACCATTGATCCTGCCAGCTGGGCTACTACACTTACAAGAGCAGCTGTAAAAAATGGTGGAAAGGTGGGTGGAGTGGTGAAACAACAAAACAACTTTGACATTGTACTGGTTGAGGTTTAAAACAAAAATATTGTAGGCTTCTTAACCAAGGATAATTCTCAATTTCCCTTTTCTTCAAGCCGCATATTATTCATGTAAATTGAAGGGCTAGGAGACAAAATTGAGAATCAATATATTTCAAGTTTAAAAGCTTTTAACCTGAATTTTATTTTGACCTCCAGCATAATATAGAGAGTCAAACTAAAACAGGCAGATACAATGGTCTGTAACATATATAAGCCTGTTACGTATTGCTTACTTGTAAAATATGTAATAATTAATAAACAGTTCCAACAGTTCCTGTGTCGGCACATTTTGATGAATACCAAAGTGATCAAATGTGATACACCTTAGTAATGGAGGTAGCTTTTGATTGGTGATTCCATCTGTCAGGGGAATGTAGAGAATAGTCTAGTCTGATACTTTAGGAGTGGGAATTACATTTCACATGATCAGGAGGAGCAGGGCTTGAAAAAAGTCCTGTCCAGTAATCAGGGACAAGTACTGTAGATTTACTTACTGGGTAAGAAATACGTACCCAGTAGGAAAGGGTCCAGGTAAGTCTTCCTCTAACAAAATCATTAACTACATGTACAATGATTAAGAAGTGGCCCCAGGCAAGCAAAAGAAGAGAGCTGCTTACCCAAAAGGACAAGCTGGAATTTAAGTTTTTTTTCTAGCCCAGTGGTACATGCAATTCTGCATGTAGGTCAATAAAACAAAGCACCTTATGCTGAATTGAATATCATAAAAACATGGATAAATTGTGTTCTCGTTTTCTGGAAAATGACCAGTCTATATGTATTTATTGTTCAGGGCAAAAATAACAATGCATTTTTTCTGCTACAGTACAGTTAATCACTCATAGTTCCAAAATCTTACCTTGTTTTCTGATTTTTCTACCCAGGTATATGAGAACTGTCCTGTGACTGGAATTGAAACAAAAGTGGATGATTTAGGACTGAAGAGAGTGTCAGCAGTTCAGACTCCGAGTGGAACTATTAACACAAACTGTTTAGTTAATTGTACAGGAGTGTGGGCGCCTAATGTTGGTGCACTGTGTGGTGTTACGGTACCTCTGGTTGCTATGTACCATGCATATATTGTTACAGAAAGAATTGAAGGGATACAGAACATGCCAAATGTGAGAGATCATGACGCTTCTGTGTATCTTAAACTGCAAGGAGATGGACTGTCTGTAGGAGGTTATGAAAATAATCCAATATTCTGGGATGAGGTAAGAGCAATGCAATAGACCTTTTTACTGATACGGCAGCCATATTGAAATTATTAGTTTTAAGGAGTATTGTGGGATGTCCAGGGGGCCCTCGCTCAGTATTTACACGCGCTTTTTGCACAAAAAGAGAACTTCACTGTGCATTTCACGGGAAAAAGGCGATAATTATGACGGCCAAACACAGCACAACGATCTTTTTTTTCCATTACAATCTTTTTCTAGGAAAACATAAAGAAAAATTGGCCCCAAAAGCGCGTAAATAGTGAGCGAGTATATGGGATCCTGCTCATGCCCCCTAGGCATCCCATAATACTCCTTAAATCTAATTAATTCAATATGGTTGCCATATCAGTAAAAAGGTCTATTTGAATTGTGTTCTAAACATACATGTGTCAACTTTGTGTTTCTATTGTTATTTTTTGGTGAGTTTGAGATAAGGATTATCTGTTTGAAAGGAACTGTAGAATCTTTAACCTTAACACTCTCTTGCTTCTTTTGTCCTCATAAAATATGTACAGATTTTTTGTAGGTGAAAAATCACAACAGATTGTAGTCATTATAAAAATATACATATCTAATTATTTCAAATTTGTACAAGGTCATTTTTTCCAGTATTGGTAGCACTGAAGATTTGATTTTACGTCCTAGAAAATCTTCAATATAAAATGAATCAGTATTTTCACTCCTTTTTAAACAGGGTGCAAAGATTGCCTTTTGGGCAAGCTGTAGCTAGCATATGTACATATACTAGCCTAAAATTCATTTCCTTGGAAAAATTTTGATGAGCAGGATCTACTTACAGTTCTTCTGTAATTTGGATTCTCTCAAACAACTTCAATTGCATGTCGGGCAAGTTAAGAAAAGAATTTACGAGCCCAGAAGCAAACTCCACTAGCCCCAGGTTATCAAACAAGATTTTTTGGCAGGCTTCCTTAGATAGTGCCATTTCCTTTTATTTCTAAGAATGGCTGCTTTCTGTAAAAGTGGTAAAACTATACTGAATCAACATCTTCTATGACAATTATTACATGTTATTTGCTTACACTGGTACCCATGTATTTTTTTGCTGTTATGCTCAGGTTAGTGACAAGTTTGCATTCTCCCTCTTTGATCTGGACTGGGATGTATTCAGTGCCCATATAGAGGGTGCATGCAATCGTGTGCCAGTTATCGCTGAAACTGGTGTAAAATCAACTGTTTGTGGCCCAGAATCCTTTACTGCTGATCACAAACCACTGATGGGTGAGGCCCCTGAGCTGCGTGGATTTTTTCATGGATGTGGGTTTAACTCTTCTGGTATCATGCTTGCTGGAGGATGTGGCCGAGAGTTGGCACATTGGGTTGTTAATGGCCACCCACAACTTGACATGTATGGATATGATATAAGGTAAGAAGCCCAAAGAGTGACCAACATGAATTTTCTCATAACAATTTTAGTTCATAATTAAGGGAAGTGGTTATGAGGGTTAATAAATGATCACCAAAAGTTCTCAAGTCTTTAAGGAAATGTAAAGAAATCAGTCTGGAGATTTTGTTGTTGATATTGCAGCTTGCAAGGTTAAAGGTAATGTTACACAGGATGATTCACAATGACGATCTTTAGCGCAACACAGTGTTGGAATGTTGGAACAATGTTGTAACCATTCGAAACAATGTCGCAGCAATGTTGCCACGCTGCATTGCGCTAAAAATCGTTCTTGCGAATCGTCTCGTGAAACATCACCTTAAGAGAAGATTGTGTTTATGCTTTTTGGCTGTTCCTTATTTATGTTTCTGACGCACGAACCCAAGTGTAATATACATGTACTTCAATAGGCCATTTCTAGGTTGCTTCAAGTCTCTGTTTAAAAATGAGGCTAAGTGCAAAGCCATTGATATGAAAATGATTTATTTGTTTTTACTGCAAATCAAACTGATTATCACAAGAAAGGTTTTGCACTTAGCCTCGTTTTAAAAGGGAGGGTTTTTAGAACTCAGAAATGGCCTATAGCACTCAAGGTTGTTCACTTTCTTGTTTTACATGTAATGTTGCCAACTTTTTTCTTTCTATTGCCTCGATGTTCGAGAAGTTCAAGCAAAATCTGTCGTTATCAAGATATTTTGAGATGGTCAGTTTTTATGGTTAGAAATACAGTGAAACCTGTATTTAGCGGACACCGTATTAAGTGGACACCCTCTATTAAGTGGACAGTAGCCGAAGTCCCGAATTTTATCTCCCTTGTTTACTTTTAATGAAACCTTTATTAAGCGGACACCTCTATTAAGCAGACGCAGACACCTAAAAAGTACCTGAAATGGTCATTTCTATTTTTGCCAACCTGTATTAAACGGACACTTGTAATTAAATTCCACCACCCAATATGCCAGACACAGGAAATGCAAAAGATTGCCACCCACAAATTTTTCAATTTTTAACATGATTAAAAAATGTGACTTGACGAACTTATTTGATTCGTTTCACAGTGCAGTATTGTTTTCTATGTCGTTTTGTTTGTATAAAGCTTGTTTCACTCGTCTGATTTCTTCAAATTCGAGTTGCAATCTATGTTTATGGTGCTTTGATCAATTGCTCCAATTAAATAGAGAAATTAATGCAAACGTATATCGTCATAGTCTCTGGGAGTACTGCTAAATGTTTCCACTGTTCATTTGAATGGCATTTGACATCTCATATGATGTTATCTATCGAAACCTGTATTAGGCGGACACCCTGAATTAAGCGGACACTACAGCAACCCCCGAGGGTGTCCGCTTAATACAGGTTTCACTGTATGGTTAAAACTGGACAATCTTGACGTTCGGCTGTTATCTTGGGAAAACCAAGCGCTTTTGAAATGAAATTTTACTTCATAGTAGTTTCAACCTTTTTTAAAATGGTATGTAAAAGATCATGGAGATAGCTCGAGCCAATTGTTAGAAAGAAGCATTTGATTAGTATGTAAGGAGGCGCTCTTGTTTGCGGTTTTGTAAACATTTTGGTCTACTTTCAAATAATTTTTATATCACTCAATAGACTTTTTAAAAATTTGAGATTCTCAAGATTAACCATCGTTTTATAATGACTTTTGAGTTTCAAGATTGTTGATATATTGTAAGGCAGTAAATTAAGGGCTACATTAGACAATTATTGTCTAATTTTTTTTGTCAGAAATTTCATGTCTACAAGTGAGAGCCTCTCGTTATTCAGGGGTATTGGGGTATTGTGTCCAAGTTTCATATTTTCTGCATTTAATTACAACTCTTCAGGTGAAAATAAAACTTAAAATGCGAGACTTGTAATCTAGAGCCCCAAGTCTTGCCATAACCACTACATGGATTTGTTCCCAAGTTCAAATTCTCAGCCACACTTGTAAAGTAGGCAACTGATTCACCTCCTACCAGTCGGGATTCTTAACCATTTTCTGTGCCATTTGTTTGTTATCCCTTAAAAGCCCCATAATAGGAGAGGATTCATAATACTTAATAATAATTTGATATTAATACTTTAAAACACCCTTCTGAATTCATCATTAGCAGTTCTTCAGTAAATACCCTCGTTAACCCACCATGAGAAATCCTGTGCCTTTCGTACAGCTTTGGTCTAACGAGGTACCCCTTAGCAGCTACCGGTATGTAGCATGCCATTATAGTCCATTATAGGGAATGCCTCAAACTGCAGGAAAGTTGAGGCAGCCTTTTGAATTTAAACAATTAATTTTATTGTCTGCACATTGTTACTGTCACCTGCAATGACCACCTCTTTAATGAGACTAGTTAGTGAGTATACATCTGGATGGAGAAAGCAAAGTTTTTCTTTTATCCCAAAAGCAAATAATTTAGTATGGTCAGGACATGAAATATCAACTTTTGGATCTGGAATCCAACATGTTTGCCATTATCGTACACCTTCCTTGTTTCCATATCTGTAAACAATCAGTTATATTATTTTTATGGTCTATATTCTTGGTGAGAAAAGGAGCATTATTCACCCTGATTGACTTTTGTGTGAAAATTTACAGGCGTTTCCACTCGTCCATCACAGCCGATCAGAAGTGGTTAAGAGAAAGGAGTCATGAATCCTATGCGAAGAATTATTCCATGGTTTTTCCTCATGATGAACCACTTGCTTCCAGGAACATGCGATGCGATCCTTTTCACAAGGTAAAGCATCTTTATCAATGTCTGTACTTTCCAGTAAGAAAGTAAGAATTAAGTGATTTAACCTTTTTCTTGTAGTACCAGTATAAAATGCATTATTGGCCAAGTGTTAAGGCAGGCTGGCTTGATATTGGCCATATTTCAAATTCTTTTTTAGTGTTTTTGTGGTCTTGCTACAACCACACTAAGGCTCTTAAAGGCCCATGTTCACCCAAGTGGCTTTGCACGCTTGTGTTTTTGCTGTGAAACATTTTTTTTTTTGCCAAATTCAGTGTTTTGATAAGGCAAAGTGTTCGTTTTTTTCACACTTGATCAAAGCATGATTCTACACACAATGAAGACCGCAATTTTTAACTAAACAAGATCATTTTTCTGGAGAACAGGGTGCGCAAAGCTGCTTGGGTGAACATGGGCTTTTAATAATTATCCAATACTCGTTTTTTTTAAAGGTTCTTTTAGACAGGGGATGTGTATATCAGGAGAGGCATGGTTGGGAGAGACCAGGATGGTTTGTCCCCAATTCCATGGCACAGGTAAATATAAATTTTTCATATCAGCCCTTGACAAGATCTCCACCCACCCCCTGTACTGTTAAATGGATTTTTCCTCAGATTGTGTTAAACTTTCATTACCCGGTAATTTGGATGGATACTTTTGATTTGGATGGATACTTTTCGTTTGCTTTGTAGCTGACTAAAACACTCTGATCAATCAACCAGCTATCGGGCTTCTGTTATAAGGTTGTGTCCAGTACTCAAGGACAAGCAAATTTTTCTTACCTTGCAAGTAACTTTTAACGTGACTATGACCCAGAGCACCCATGAACCTGGAAAACCATCAGACCATCATGTACTGTTTTTATTTCTCTCTGTATATTATTATGTGACAGGCGAAGCTAATAAAATAAAATAAAAATAAATAAAGTTTACTTGCCCAATGAGCCAGGCTCCTGGCAAATCATTGTCTATACTAAATGATTAACTAAGAGGTGTAAGAAGTGGCCCCGGGCTCGGTGGGGGCGGGGGGAGGGGGCAGGGATATTCCCTTATGTATGGCCTATACAGTGATGTGTTACTGAACAGGGTATGCTTTTTGACCTCTCTGTCCTAAACAAGGTGCATAATTCTGGCCAGTCTGTCAACAGGGTATTGCCTGGATAATTGATTTGATTTGCTAAATTTTGTTTGTACTCCAAGTATACAAAAGCAATGTGGCTTTAAAACAAGACGTCATGTATTTTGTCCTTTGTCCTTTGTCCTTTGTCTTTTGTCCTAAGCAGGATTGTATTTTAAACATTAATTTTGTTTATACTGTTTGTTTGTTTGTTTGTTTTTCTAATATTTCTAGGTTAAAGATTATGACTATTATGGGGCTTATGATGTAAAAGAGAACAAAGATTACACATACAATGCGCTGTTGGGCCAAGACTACACATTTGACTTTCCACCACACCATGATATTGTGAGTAACTCAGTTCTGTGAACTACATACAAACATCATAGTTTCAGATATAATTTTGTAGTTGCATTAATTAGGAACTTGCAGTGGAGCTTGTAGGTGAAACTGCCTCTACCCAGTTATTCTACTTGTGCAATGCAAGGTTTATGGCAGAACCTGTCTAGTAATAAATTCATTTTCAGTGCTTTTGGTGTGGTAGATTTATGAATCAATCAAAATGACTGGGAATTTCACATATATGCCAACTCTCTGGGCACCCAGTAATCTCCTAGTCTCCTTTACAGGTCACCAAATTTTTCCATTTACCCAAGTAAAATACACTTTTGAGCTTTTCTGTGCTTTAGTTTGAAATTTACCCTGTTTTCCCCCAGAATAATACTTCAGAAGGTTCACACTTTCTGTGGCATTTGTGCATGTATTTAATCACTGACAAATTTTATAATTGTTACATGCAGAAGAAGTTTGAATGGTTTGTACCTCATGTAAGACTTCCTGTAATGTACTAACATGTACATGTATGTGCTATAATTTGGTGATCAGGTTGGTTGGTTGTTGTTGATATTGGGGAGATAATGTAAAAGAGATATTCAGTCTCCAGGTTTTAGATCTCTTGAAGTTGGTATCCCTGAAATATAAACATGTTTAAAATAATGCAGGTCAGATTTTAAGCTCTCACACCATTTTTTTTTTTTTTTTGTCTTCTTTTTGCAGATTGGAAAAGAATGCTTAGGCTGCCGAGAAAGAGTGGCTGTGTTTAACATGTCGTACTTTGCAAAGTATTATCTGACTGGGCCTGACTCTCAGAAGGCTGTTGATTGGATATTTACTAACAACATGGCAAAACCACCAGGTGAGAGCTGTTTATTTCATATTTAGCAACCATTCATTATTTTTTAAAAAGCCTATGCAATAGGACGGCAGAAAGAAGAGGACAGAAAAAATAATATTTCTGTGAGCATGGCACTGGGCTATTACTTGCGTGTTTTGTTGTGATCTTCATTGTAACATGACTGCTTTCTGGTTTTTCCCAAAAATATCTGTGAAGTTGAAGTTTGTAGAAATAATAATTATTATATAATTATTATTGTCATGCTTGTCAAACAAGGTTTGCTTTCTTCTTTCCTCTGCCATCTTATCGCATGAGTTCATTGTTATTAAGGGTGTGTTTGATTGAGTGTATATCGGAATAAGAATAATGCAAAAGTTTTCTTGTGAAAAATCTTTTGTATACATTTTTGGACCACTTAAATTTTTTGCACATTGGAGCATTTTATCTCAAGCAGCGATTATAGACATTACAGTGCAATGAATGCCAAAACAAATGAATCCTAGAGTTAATAGCTTTTATTTTTAAACCAGAATACTGTCAATCAAACATGCATGCCCTAAATGCAGACAATGGCCAGATATCTGAAGCTCAGAAATCTTTTTTATTCTCAATTTGCTTTTTCTTCTCACTGGAGTTAGTCATGATTATGAATAATCTAATTTATAATAATAGAGGCCTTCCATTAAGGTAGGGTCTGAAATTATTTTTTTATTCAGGCACCAAGTGGCAACTGAAATCTTTTTTCTAGTCACCAGATGGAAAATTCTGGTCGCTAGCAAGTGTCCATAAAATTGTTGCTTCACAACGAAACATGAAAAAACGAAGTTCTTAAAGACATTTTTTTCACTTAAAACATAATCTGTAATACTCGTGAACGATTGCAAAAGTCTCACTGCCATGTAACAAAAGGCATTAAAATAGTGATAACTTGAACAGATCAACTTCTGATGACTGAGAAGCACATGCTACAGGGTATGTCTAAACCATGAATGAACATCTTTGCGCTTTCTGGTTTTTCTGACAGTAAGTGGCCAGTAAAGCATTCGGGAAAATTTGTAGAGTTCCAGAAAGGCACATGTTCAAGCAATGCACCCACAGTATGGCTTGCAGATGAAACCACTGAAAACATGGTGGAAGCTAAATGTTGATTACAGTGTGTGGATTATAATTGTTTTAGAGGCCATTTAAACGGGAATCTCACCATCATTTTGCTGTAAATGTTTTCTATGGAGAATAAAAATTTTGAAAAGACAAGGGGTAAGTTTCTTCTGGAAATCAATCAAGAAATACAAAATTAATTTCTTGAGCATCAGTTCAAAACATTAACAAGGAACTGAAAGTCAGTTGCCAGCTAGTCTTGAAAATCTGGTCACAAACAATGAATTTTGGGTCGTATCAGCGACCAGCTGATCGCAATTTCAGACCCTGCAATGGGGAGTATGCTGTCCCTTTGTCAGTCATTTCTGAAACTGCCTACATGTCACCTGGTAGGTTCGGAAAAGATGTTGTTGTCACATTTTAGATTGGACAAAAATGTTGCTTTGGGTTTGGCATAAATGTTTGTGATCTACAATTTGGAATTTACAGCAGATATGGTGCCTGGAAAGAATTAATATTGTTATTAACCCTTCTCTCTTGAGGGACTGTTCTTGAACAATACCATAATTAGATAATGTTAGCAATAACTTTCCAAAGAAGGTAACAGAAAATGTTTTTAAATAACAGTCAAGAGGCAAAGGAAATTGAGAGCAAATCTAGGCCAAAGCCATGTTAACCTGGATTTCATTTGTATAATAATTATCATGATTGTATTACAGGTGCTACTACCTACACATGTATGGCAAACAAAGATGGTGGAGTAGAAGCTGATATTACAGTCAGTGTTTTAGAGAATGGAGATGGTTCAAGTGTCATTAAACCAAAATTTGAAGGTGAGGACTAAAAAGAGATGAACAAGCAGTTATTCTTTAACATAATCATCATCATCAAGCTGTGGAGCCAGTGATTATAAGTTTCCAACTGCCGTCAATGATTATGGCCATGCAAAACATTTTTCCGAGATGTTTACCTCCAGTAGAGCACCAAGCTTTCAACTTTTGGCTTCAATGCTGCTTGTCTGAGTCAGGGCCCGAAAAAGTCCCATCTAGGTTCAAAGGTTCATTTATTTCACACTATTTACAGAGAATAACATAGAAAGAAAAATATAGTCACAACAGATGATTGTAAAATAAAATAACTGTACATTTCGGGTTATAAAATGTGTGTGATGGTCAAAGTAGTGAAAGCTTTCTAGTTGACCACCACCTACTTTTAAGTAAAATGAAGAAATGACTCTGAGCTTTACATATATTTGAGAATGTTTGTAGGGCCTAGGACTAGGACAATATTACATCTATATAAAGGTACATTAGAGATATAAGGAACCAAAAGAGAAATCAAGACAAAACAAACTTCTAGAAGAAAAAAGAAAAGAAAACAACAACACCAACAGCAGTAGCAACAACAGCAGCGACAACAAAGACAAAATACAAGCAGACAATTATTATTTTTAGACTACTGTTATTATTAGGTAGTTAGGTATACATTTGAATATTAAACAGGACCAATGTTGTGTAGACCAATGTCTAGTAGACCTGCTGGTATTTCTTGGGAAGTGAGTGTTTGGCTGAACTTTTTTTACAGGTGATGGATTTTACCTTGCTATTGGTGGCGGTATTGGTCAGCACAGTTGGTGTCACATTCAAAATATTATTCATGACAAGCAGTACAATGTCAAGCTTGAAGATAACTCAGAGAAAATGGGAATGCTGAGTATTCAGGGACCTAAAAGGTCAGTGGGAACAATAAATGATATTATTGATGGTGTGTTACCTCATGCAAAGTAATCGAAGACATTATCCTGAATTAGTATCAATGGATATTTGCGTACTGGTCTTATCAAAGTTGAAAGAAACGTCAAAGGGTCTATTTAAATTGGGGCTGCAGTAGGTGGAGTGCCTGGAGGCAATGTTTCTTCTGCCATCAATCATTGGTAGACATGTTGAAAGGCCCAGTGAATAACTCTTTCTAAAGTGCTACCAGTGTTTGCTTATAAAGATTAATTTCACTGGCAATACGCTGTATGTTTCCATCCAGTGTTATTGCTGTTATTTATCGATGTTGTTATTTTTCAGCCGGGAGTTGCTGCAGAGTCTCACTTCAGCAGATCTCAGCAATGAGTCATTCCCTTTCTCCACTCACAAGGTCATCAATGTTGCAGGCCATGACTGTCGAGCAATTAGGCTGACATTTGTTGGTGAGCTTGGCTGGGAATTGCATATTCCAAACGATTCCTGCGTGCCTGTCTATGAGGCTGTCATGGGGATAGGAGAAAAGTTTGGTATTGTCAATGGTGGCTACAGAGCTCTAGATTCACTGAGTGCAGAGAAGGGGTACAAACATTGGCATCAGGATCTGCGGCATGATGACACCCCACTGGAGGCAGGGCTGGGCTTCACCTGTAAACTCAAGAGAGATACTCCCTTCCTTGGACGAGAAGCTCTTGAGAAGCAAAAAGCTGAAGGTCTCAGCAAAAAATTAGTCTGTTTTACCATTGATGAGTAAGTCTTTTTATTATACTAATGCGGCTAAATTTTATTTAGGCTAAGTTAGCCTCGAGCCAATGCAGCCGGCGGTGTCCCCGTATTAGCATGCGTGACATGCGGGGTGGCCCACCTGGGATTTTCAGGGCCGCTATCATTTTGCATTATTTTGCAAGCTATTCTAGCTGATCGTTGCGGATCACCTTGTTGCTTTGTGATGGCGAATCTTGGCATGCTACACAGATCTGCTGTCATGCGGGGGTGTGCAGGTAAGTATTCCACGCGGGTAAGTATTTTCCACTGAGTACCCTCTCAGTGTGACAGTGCCAGTTAGCGGCTGCTGGCAGGGGTGGTTCCCACTTCCAGGGTTGCCTGGTTACCTCCTTTGCCGTATTTTTCACAGTTAGCCTCCCCGCTAACCTTTTAGGCACCAGTTCCCAAGCTCATCAATTGGCGATGAGTTTAATAAGGAACAACAACAACAAAAGCTTTATTTGCCTGACCATAAAGGCATCACAGTATTGCAAAAGCCACTAGTCTAAATTTAATTACTAATTCAACTAATTAATGTAAAGCATTTCAAAACATTACAGATTTCATTCATTTATAGATATTAATTTGTTTCTTAATTCAAAGCATTGCGAGATAAATAAAACTAATTGACAGTTAATTAACTAATCAGAGGAATTCATAAGATGAGCTAATAAAGTATCGTGTGAAAGTGATTTGAAGTTAGGTATTTGAAGTTCTATTTGGAGAAAATACGTCTCCAATCAGAGACTCTGGTCTCTAATCTTAGAATAGGCCTCACAATCTAGTAAGAAATGATTTTCATCTTCAATTTTGTTACTGTTGCAAAAGGAACATATCCTTTCATTGCAAGGGATTTCTTCATATCTACCCGTTTCAGTTTTAAGTAAGGATGACAGAAAACTGAAGACCCATGACTAGATGATGATCAAGACCTTGCTTAGAAAAAAGTGAAAACTTTGGAGCAAAAAGTTAGAAAATCTGGGATGGGACTTAACACATGAAAACAAGACTCCCTGACTCATCACAAATGCTTTTAAAATTTCTTGATTGGTTGTTGTTTCAAATTGTTTCGAGGGTGGCAGCAAGTAGAAGTAGAGGATATTACATGGCCACGTGGAGATACGAAATTTCTCTTCAAGTGTTGAAAAATATTTCATGAGTGAGCGCAGCGAACGAATGAAATATTTTTTTAACATGAGAAGAGAAATGTCATATCTCCAAGTGACCATGTAATGTTCTTTTTACTATATATTAAACACCAATGAAATACCAAACCATTTTACTCAAATAGTTTTTTAGTCTGAAAGGTGCGGTTTATTATGAAGCCATAACAACGGTGATATTTCCACATGTGAAGATATCAAGTTTTCACGCGAAAGCTCACTTGGTATTTCATTGGTGTTTATATAATAAATAGAGGATATTACATGGCCGTGTGGAGATACAAAATTTCTCTTTGAGTGTTGAAAAATATTTCACGAGTGAGCACAATGAATGCATGAAATATTTTTTCAACACAAGAAGAGAAATTCCTATCTCCAAGTGGCCATGTAGTGTTCTATGTATTATTTAAACACCAATGAAGTACCAAACCATTTCACTTAAGCAGTTTTTTGCTGTGAAAGGCGCAATGTGTTATGTAGCCATAGCAACAGTGATATTAACATTTTATTTTCACAGGTGAAGATATCAGGTTTTTGCACAAAAGCTCACCTGGTATTTCATTGGTGTTTATATAATAGATCCTCTATTATAAGCCCCCCTCTCAAATAAGCTCCTATTTACGGGGGAAGAAAGTTATTAAGTTCCCCCACTTTTTTAATCCCCCCTCTCCTTATTCTCCACTTGCGAATTAATGAAAGATGTACTGATCCACTATGAATTATTCACTTGCTGGAAGTGATCTTTGGCTTCAAGACCTCTAAAGTGATGTGCTTAAGTCTTTCCACTATGCATCCTAGTTGTTTATGGAGAATTGATACCATCTTCTGGTTGTTTGAAAAAGCAGTATGGTGCTCCATTTCAGTAAATTAATTAAGCCCCCCTCCACCCCGCCCTCAAACGTGCTTTAAATAAATAAGCTGCCCAGGGAAGAGGGAATTTACGGTTCTCATTCCCCTTCTTAGTTTTACCTTATAATGTTCATGGTATGGTTCTTTTGTATCCCTGGTGTAAACTAGTTTTAATTTTCTTTTTTGTGTGTGTTTTGGCAATGTATGAGGAAGGGATTAAAACAAAAAAATTTCACAAGAGTTAGAATCTATAGACACAAAAAAGAGACCTTTACTAGAAAATCAAGACAAACGTGTCTTATTATGGATGTAGCATTCTCATGGATGAGTGCCACTTCTAACTTCAAGATATTTTCTTCATTTACAGTCATAAATCACTTATTGGCCTAGAAGCAATATGGCGAGATGGAAAAGTTGTTGGCTTTATACGAAGAGGAGAATACAGCTTTGCTTTGGGCAAGAGTTTGGCCTATGGATACGTTAAAAATCCAAGTGGCAAGCCTGTAACTACAGAGTTCTTAAAATCTGGAAAATACACCATTGAATCAATGGGAGAGTTGTTTCCAGCCCAGGTGCACACAAAAGCTCCATTTGATCCCAAGAATCTTAGAGTTCAAGGATTTTATGAAAATTTATAAATGAAATTCTTACTGTAGTGTTAGTGTCCAATTATTGGATGAGGGTTTGGTGATATCTGGAATAATCAAGGTTGAGGGAGGTTGGGGGTCACCAAAGTAAACTCCTTCTGTGATGATATTTTTTTAACCATTTCACTGATAAAGGCTTCAAAATTCTTTTTGTAAAAATTAATCCCAAGAGACAGTGGTACTATGCATAATTTTGTGAGGTTTGAATGGCATCACCACAGGATTTCCTCCCCAGATTTTATAGCAAGCATCGGGGGTTTTCTTTTCTGTTTTTTTTTTTTTTTTTTTCTTTTTTAGGATGCAAGGAGAAATTTTGGGGACGTGCCTACATGCAAGGGCAGAAAAGGAGAGGAGGCCTCCTTGCTCCTTTGCATGTTCCCCTTGCATGCCTTCTTTGCCCTATAAAAAAAATAACATTGATTTAGAAGTTAGCATGACAAATAATTCATTAACACTGATGAAATACCAGGTGGACTTTCACGAGAAAACACGATATCTTCACAAGTTAAAAGATTACTGTTGCTATGGTTTCATGTAAATAAATTATTGCGGCTTTTGCAGCCAAAAAAATTAAAATGAAATGGTATGGTATTTCATTGGTGTTTATATGACAACTTCACAGAACATTACATGTTTGAAATTTCTCCTTTAGAAGGGTTAATTAAGACTATTCCACTCACTCTATGTAATGTCCTCTATTTGAAAATGTGGTGTAAGAGTGAAAGGATTTACAGATCCAAACACAAAATCTGCAAATAAGGAAAGAATGGNAACGTACCCGAAACGTTTTCTCTGAGTATGCGATATTATGTCAGCGGTATTGATTACTACTTCATAATATCACAAATGGCAAAGTTTGATAGTCATACAAGTATCTTGCAAAATAGCAAATTATTAAGTACTATATCAGGTTCTAATATATAAATTTCGCTGTACAAATATACGCAATCCTTACGTTCAAAATATGCCATAATCTTATCTATCTATGGCAAGAAATATCCACTCTTCCCCCTCAACTGCTACCTGTACGCCTAACAAACATATCAAAGGCACTCTCCTAAGCTCCGATTACTCCTAGCATATAACTAAATTAAAAAATTTATGCAACTGTTGGGTCACCAGTGGGCAAAACGTTTGCGTGTTGACACAAACATGTACATCATTTTCTCTTATTTTCTAAAAGAGAAATATAATTATTTATGCTCTAACTTGTATCTTATTCAAGTGTAGGCCAGAGACCCTTATGAATGCTTAACAGTGATAATGTGGTAGAAATAGTTTTATGGAAGTGTAGTAACCATGAAATATGTAGATGATAATAATTGTTACATTAGAGGAACAGAATATTAAATACATACACAACTACAGCCCAAATTCAAGTCAATATGGTTCAGAGTATACGAACAACTTAATCCAGAACACATCATAACTTAGAAGTTGTATGTAATACAAATTTCTGAAAAGTGAGTGTGTCTGGACTTCTCCAAAGAGACAATTCTTGTAAGTGATAACCTCCTATTAAAGGACCACCAGATCTTCACATTGGGTTGTTGCTTTCAAGGGGTTCGACTGTAATTACAATAAATAAATATTGTTATAGCTAGGTAGTGTGAGATAATGAAAAGGACATTTGTAGAAATTATGAACATTTTCATTTCTGAGTGCTGTAAATCCTTACAAAGGGCCCTTATTTAAGCAATAAGATAAGCGCCTTTTATAACTTTAAATCTTAGTTTAGAAAATTGTATGAATTCTGTACTCCTAGCGCGAAGAAAACAATAAAGAATGAATGTTTTTTTTTTCTACACCCAGTTTATCTACTTTCAGAAATTCAATACACCCATTGCAAAAATGGCTGCCGGATTAATATTCTTTTGTTTAAATTAGCCTAACTAGTCTCGTTTGAGATAATGTATTCTTTTGAATTTTGTACTGGAGAACGAGGCTAGTTAGGCTAACTTTATTCAAACCAAAGAATGTTAATCTAGCAGCCATTTTTGCATTGGGTCTGTATTAGCTTGTATTGCACTAAAATTATTTTAATGTTGAGGAAACAGCAAATACAGTAGAAATATGACTAATAAGGTTTTAGCATTCAACTCCCTGGATAGTAATCACTACATTTAGTTCATGCAGTATTGAGTCTTGATTGTTGGTGTACCACTTTGGATTTTATAACTTTGTGGAGAAGTTGAATACTGACCACTGTAAAGAAACAAAAGCTATAATGCTGGACTGCTTGTTTTACCGCTTGTCACAGTGATCCGAAGTAACAAACAAGGCTTGGGAGACTTAGGGGTTCATGCTCCAAGGACAAGTGCGCATTCCTTTATGTGTGCTTATACTTTTAAATTGTTATGAAGTGAACCTGAATTTGAAACTTGATGAACTTCTGGCGCGTACGTGATAGAAACAAAACGGGAGAGTCCTTGTATCAGGTTGATAATTAACCTGCCAGCTGCCAACTACACCCAACGAAACTGTTCAGTACATTCGTGTATAAAGGAAATCAACTAAATATCCTCAGTCGCAACATTTTTTTGTCTGTTTTAGGACATTAAAAACGGCAAACTTAACAGTTTGTTTACTGGTATAGAGGGAGACATAAGACAGTTCCAAGTACCAGTAAACCCGTGGTCTGTGGGGGAGGGGCCAGGGCACTCCCTATAATGGCCTATACGGGAGGGCCCAGTAAACCTGTGGTCTGTGGGGGAGGGAGCCAAGTCACTCTCTATTATGGCCCAGGGCGGATCCAGGGGGAGGGTGCAGGGGGTGCGCACATCCCCCCCCCCCCCGGATGACCGGCAGCTTTCAAATACAACGGGTAT